GTAACAGTGTGGCACATAACATGGGAAGATGAACACCATCACTCCAAATGTCTCTTCCTTCTAACCCCAGTTCATGTACCAAGCATGATGTTGTATGGTCTGGAATATCCCTCAGTTTGGGTCGCCTGTCCTGGCTATGTTTCCTCCCAGCCTCCCAAGCACCCCCAAACCCCTCCCCAGCATGGAGTATGAGAAAGCAGAAGAGGCCTTGGCTCTGTGTAAGCCCTGATCAGCAATAACAAAAACATTTCTACATTATCAACCCTGTGTTCAGCACAGATCCAAAACACGGCCCCATAACTGCCCCTGTGAAGAAAATTAACTCCACCCCAGCCAAAACTAGCAGACACCTTAATTAATTACTGATAACTATAGAATGACTGTTTGTCAGTGGAGTTTTAACAAAATTTTTAATTTCAGTATGCTTTTTCTTGTCCTAGTCTGACCAGAATGTTCTTTCATTTGGAAATGCTAATACTGGTGATGGGATACCTGTCTGAAACCAAGCCATCATAAGCCTTGCCAGAATTTTCCATGCTGATCTCCTTGGGCAGAGGATTCTTCCAGGATATAAGAGGACATATTTTTGTGATGTGTGTTTATATATACACTTATATATACTTAGCACCCTTTTTTTCCCTGCAGTGTATAGAATTGAGATCTAACTAGATAGTATTTAATCTTTCTATTTCCCCTATTCCAGAATTCAGAATACCAATCACCTCTGACCCATTATCATCCTTGTGATATGAAGCACATGTCCAGTACATGATGAACAATGGCAGGCAGAGGGAAGTCTAGCTTATCTTTCCTTTAGTAACAAGATAACATGAAAAGAAATACCTTCCCTTCAGAATTCACATGTGACTTCCATTAGTCCCACAAAGCTGTCCCTCTGTTTCATAAGAATTTTATGTTTGTTATTGTTATTGAAGAACAGAACTATGCTAATTTAAATTACTTTGTTTTCATTTTCAATGGAAAAAAAAAGGGGGGGAGTACATGTTTTGATAAAAATGAGGTTCTGAAATAGGAAAATACACATATTTTATGCTAGAATAGAGCAGCAGACCCATGGAAGGAATAAGGTCCTGGCCTATCTGTTGTAATTGAACAGAAGAGGAACTGCCAATAGCATGAACTGCTTGGTCATCTAAGGAACTTTGATAACTCTGCACTTAAAAGCAATATAGTTCCCTCAGGAAACAAAAAAGAGGTTTTACTGCACTCTGGTTTTCCTTCTTTCAGAAGCTTTTTGAAAATTAGGTATGCAATGGGTATTTCCAGATTAATCATATTTTAGAATTTTTAACTATTACTTAAAACTCAAATTCAGTGTAATCAGCCCATCTGTTAGCAATGGTTATAAAATTATGTTGAAGATTAAAAATCTGATGCAGTGTCAATATGTCCTAGCATAATTAAGCTTGTTTTATGATGAATGACTAGGATATGGCTTTTGTCTA